TGCGCGCCTTCCTGCCGTTGCCGGGTGGTATCATTCGGATGTTGTTGGGCCTTTCGATGAATACATCATTATATTTCCCGTTGCAACGCACGGGCATATGGGCTAGTAGTGATAATATATAATCATCATCACTATTCTACTCCTTCTGTATCGAAATACTTGTAGCTGGGGACAAGTTCCCCCAACAACAAGTATTACGATACAGAGGGAGTAGATGCTTCAACAAGTGGAAACTTTTCTTTCTGTGCCGCTGTGAAAGACTTGTTTGCATCATCACATGCCTTCGGTAAACAGAGGACACGTAGCCTCGTTTGGCCACGAGGATACAGAGGGAGCTTCCGTTTTTTTTTTCTTTTGTGTGTAACTTTTTTTTTCATTGGGCGTTGACAGGCGTATAATTGTATCTCTTGGCTCAAGATGACTGCGTCAGGATGCGCTACTCATCCACGGATAGTGCAACTTTCCTCACTCTCATTCTTGATCGAGCTCACACAGCAAATGCTAATATTCCGTGGATTTCATCCAAGGACCCACACACACCTGCACCACATGAATTTAAGCGGCCTGCAAACTCAGGGGACGGTGGATTTCTAGCAATTTCCCATTAAAAAGTAACACAGATTCCAGAATGAACACGCAGGAAGATGCAAACAGGCCCAATTGTTCACTAAGTACTCCAAGACCTGAGACACAACCTTTGATGGATAGAACAAGACGGGATCAAGCAGCTCAAATTTCTCAGCGATTGCATCTCATCCATACAGAAAACCTGACCTTGCGACGCTCTCTACTGCCCACTTCACTTGGACCTTGGTCTATGAACCTTCTTCCTCCGCATGATTTCAGTCGGTTGTCCAGTCACACTCAACGACCTCAATAAGGCAGACGGTTCCTGCAATACGGTAAGCCAATGATAAATTAGTGAAAAAGCTCCCGCATGATCATTATGGAATTATTCTGCAAGTACAATGACCCTACAAATTACTCCCTCCGTCCCAAAATAAGTGTCTCAACTTTGTACTAGCTCTAGTACAAATTTGTACTAAGCTCGAGACACTTATTTTGGGACGGAGGGAGTATTTGATTGGCTTTCTAAAAAAGGCAATCCTTCATGGTGAAATAACACATATAATGTCCCAAGTCACCATTCTTACAAAAATAATAATGGTGAGTTAATAAAGAACTGTGTTTCTCATGTAGATTCACCCATATATCTCAAGGTTATTTCAGCAATATATGCAGGTTACCAACGACAACAAAAACACAGTCCGCATCTTCTAAAGGCCAGACATGAAAAATGAAGATAACAACGTAGTGAAATCCCATCAATTTCGTGCCTATGAAGATCGAAGTAGCCATACCAAGTGCATCAAATGAACTTAAATAATAAGAAGGACATGCATCATATAATCAGGGAAAGGGGGAGGGGGGTGGAGGGGCTAGCCCAGTTCGACGAAAAGAAAGACACAAGTAAGTTTTGCACAAAATTTCTGCACTGTGCCATGTAACACCAATTAGGTTTTACCGTTTTATTTGTTAAACAGAGCTAATATATTGTGCGCAGTGCATGTGGTCAAAAATTGGTACAAGCGAACCGCAGGCCAACTCCTTAGCCCAGGAGCGTTCTCCATGACCAGGAAACAAATGTAAAGTGGCTGGTGGTATGGCACTGTCAATTATGCTTGGTATGCAAACGATTGGGAAGTATCTAAGCTTGCCAATTCCAGAAGGGAGGACAAAGAATGCAAAGTTCCAGCTTCTCAAGGATAATGATAGAAAGAAGTGTAGTAGCAAGGATGACAAGTAATAGCTAATCTATTGTAGCAAAAGATGAATACACAAATTAATTGGTGCTGCAACAGAGCTATATTTTACTAGTATTGTAATTAGGCTTCAATTTTACATGCTCACTTTCTGTATTGGCAATAAGATAAATTTCTAATAAAGAAACACAATGTTATCATAATTTTGATCTTCCACAATACAAGGCAACGAGGGCTGGAGTTTTGTTCTAAAACACTAAGGCAACAACCTGTTCGTGAAGATAAGAGGAAACGCAAACTTTAAGGCACCATCCTAAACTTTAGCTCAGTGGACTTTGCTATTGTCAAAAAAAATAACAGCTATTTCGATTATCCAACACTGAGATTAGGAATGTAGCAAAAACTAACAGTATTCAGCAAAACTTAATTTATGGACAGATAAATATACAAGATAGAAATACCTGTGTTAAGTACGTGGGGAATCTGGAGGAAATGAAACTCCTTAGGAGATGAGACTTTTCCTCAATCATGTCAGCATCTGGGCCACTGGGGCTTCCTTCTTCTCTTGAAATATATGGATCAACTGCCAGCACTTTCTTGGTACTTAACTGAATTGTGACCAGAGAAACCTTGCTGTTTTCTTCTTCGGCAGACTCTGAGACCAAAAAGTATGCCATGTTGGAATCCAGCATGCTCACAAGAGGGAACATCAGGATATCACGCGGCAGACCTATACGTCTGTTTAAAGCCCACAACTCTTCAGATGTGATGGCCGCAAGCTCATCCCATGACCCATCTAAGGAGGACAAAGTATAGGAGTGAATGGTGAAACTAGAACCTTTCCCAAGTGGCCCAAACAGCTCCCCATCAGAGCGGATAACATCAGTGAATTTGAGAACAGAGTTCTTGATGCCCTTTTTGCTCATCTCTATCGTGGTGCACACACTGCGATTCACCTCATAGAATGCTTTGCCTTGAGCTGAACTTCTAGGACGGTCAACAATAGGCAATCTGACGTATAAGATCTTGGGGTTTTCTTCAAGTACGTCATAAGCTAGCATACCGCCTCTGTAGTAGTTGATCCAACAAATGTAAGAGTTGAATCTGATGACAGCATCAGTTGACCAATAGTATAACTCCTTATGCTCATCCTCCTTATGGTCAATTGGTATCTTCCTCACATCCCATTTGCCATCACAATCATTACCAGATACAAGTGAGCGGAACACACAAACTTCTGCTTCCATCTTGAGCGTGCCAGGTATTTCGCTGACCATAGCCAGCTGCGCCACTGCAAATTCCGCTTCAACGCTTCCGCCATGGCCTTGGATGAGTCCTACAGTGTGCGGGAGGAACACACGCTGTAGACTCACTGTCTTCTCCTCTCCCTCTTCAAAACGGAAGATCATTGGCTTGTTGCAGACAGGGAGCCGTTTGAGCTGCAAGGACGGCTTAGTCTCACACGACGCTACACAGATAAAGTGGTCTTGTATGATCGGTAAGCGACCGTCCTTGCCCAATCTTCCAAAAGAAGTTTGCCTGAAGAGAACCAGATCACGGTGGGCGGCCACGAGCTCGGTTCCCTTGGCATCCTCCGACTTTGTACCGTCAGGCCACTGCATGTAGAAGCGGGAGATGGCCGGGGGCTCGGCAAGGAGGAAGAGGATGTCAAACTTCTTGCCAAGAGAGGTGTGCGAACTTGCCCTCAAAGGCGCCTTGGATCCGTCTAGGAAGGGACTGCCCTCTTCCTCGTCATCCCTGTGGAAGACAAAGCGGTCGAGCATCATCCACCTGGATCCAGCCATGGCCATTGATCAGCAGACCGAAACAGGTTTAGGTAGCTTCTGCCTCTGCCTGCGAGAAGATGGAATTGACTCAGCACCATCACAACATTTGCCACTCTCTCAAGAAAATTTACCACTCAAAACGTTGCCGTTGAGAAATTAATTATCCAGAATACTAGGCATTACTATGTACTACTAACTAGCTGAGGTTGCCAGAAGAACAAAAGAACAATTTTACCATTGCCTTCTTCAAAAGATGAAGTGAGTCAGATAATGTCTACACAGAGATGCAAGATATCATAATAATGCCCAGTAGAGAAACGCCAAAATAATGCACAGTATAGAAAATGGAAACAGGCTGCACCCTCACACATCATTTGCACGCAAAAAGGGACTAAAATGGAGAACTTGAATTGCGGATTGCACATTGTCCTTTTTTACGAAAACAAGGTTAAATTGACAGATGTGTGAGGCGTGGTAAGGTGAGAGCTGGCTGTACAATGACGAGCATGCTCTTTTCCCTGCCCTTGCGTACATTTGTTATACTGAAAGGGCCATGGGAGGTAGAATTTGCATCAACAGCATTACAACAACGTTTGCCGCTCTAAAAACCACCAACTTTAACAGATCGATTTTGCCAGAACACCACTAGTTGAAAGTTTTCGCTGTCCAGACAGAACACCAGGCATTATCACGTACAGTAGTACTAACCTAGCGGAGCAACAGAAGAAGACGTCTGCCCTTACCTTGTTCAACGGCAGCAGCTGGGGCAGCCGAGCAGCCTGCGGTGGCTGGTGCGACGGAGCCGGCGGACCGAGTGTGCAGATCACGGGGAGGGGTCGAGCGCCGTCGCGCGCCGCCTTGCCTGTCGCCTCGCCTCGCACGGTGGAGCTCGAGCGGAGAGGCGCCGCGGGTTTCTAGGGTTTGGATGGCTGGGAAGGGGAGGAGGGGAAAGGGGGATTGGTGAGGATCGCTCTCGCTGTGACTAGTGAATGTGAATGTGAGATCTGGAATGGTTTTTTACAGTTTGGCCCAATTCCTCAGCTGGCTCTCTGTCGCGTGGCTATCTTGCAGCAAGCGCCGGGACATGTGGAGCGTGTCACAACTAGAATTAGCGACCAACTAATACTCCCTCCGTTTTACTAAAATATAAGATGTACTCCCTCCGTTCCATAAATGTAAGACGTTTTTGACACTATCATAATGTAAGACGTTTTTACATTCCCATAATGTAAGACGTTTTTTGACACTTACATTATGGGACGGAGGGAGTATTAGTTTTTAAAAATCAAATATGTATATTTGCCCAAAATTTTAAGAGAAAGGTATCAATACCTACACTGTCAAACACACGTCCTACTACTACTATATGCATTTTGTTTTATCAAATTACTAGCACATATGCCTGTGCGTCGCAACGGGAGAAATATTTTATTTTTATTTACGACAAACAACGGGAAAGATAATCGATGTGTCCACAAGAAAACGGTCTCCATAATGGTAGGCGACAAAGCAAGGACTTGCGGTCTTCTCACTGGACATGTTTGGCCCGTGAAATCTTGGTAGTGGTGGGGTTGCTAGGCGTGGTGACGAGCATCCAGCTTGTGCCTTTTTTCTTTCGCGTCCGCCTCCATCTCAGGATTGTGCATGCATCCTCATATGGTGGATGTGTGACGGCCTTCGGGACACGGTTGCTTCGACCACTCTCCTACGACGGCGTAACCGGGTGGATTACTAATTGCAGCGCATAAATCCTGTTTCGAAAGCATAATCGGGCATGAGTGTCCCTTCATTATGATGGTTCATTCTCTCTGATTATTTTAGCGCTCACGTATCCACAATTTTTTCTTCTAATTAGAGTCAAACAACTTATTCTCTTTTATTGGCACATGCCCACAAATTTTTTAATTTATATCCAGCCAGGATAGAACAAACGCGCGCTGCTAACCAAACGGGTGGTGGCGGCGCTGGCACCGGCCTGCTGCAGTGTGTCGCCTGGGGCTTTACGGGCCCTTTTGGGCCTGGGCCTAGCCTGCTGCAGCATGTCGGCCGAGGCTTTGCGGGCTCGATTGGGCCTAGCCGGGCAAGGGTGGCCTGGTATGCCCCTGCTGCCGCGTCCGGACGGCGACCGCGGCGGTGCTGGAGGCACGGGCCTCCCGCACGATAGCGATGGAGGTGGTTCCCTCCCGCGCGGCTCTGGTCCTGCCGCTTCCGATTCCTGGCGCTCCTCTCTCCGTCCTCTTGGCCTCGTGGTGATGATAGGCGGTGTGGGTGGCATCAAGACAGCGGTGGCCCATGCTGGTGTGCGACAAGTTGGCTCTGCATCGGTTGGGCAATGGAGTTTGGGGTGCGGGAGAAATCCCTGCCGGTTCATCGATTGGCTCTGCATCGGTTGGGCAATGGAGTTTTTGTTTTGTTTTGTTTTCTTCATGGTAATACATGTCTCATTTATATCACAAGGATCATAGTATAAGTCACGTACATATCGAACTGGCAAAATTGAAAAGATAGCGAATGCTAGCTTTGCACAAAGAAACACTAGCCAATAAGTAAAATTACAGACAAGGCTGAAGAATTCTTTGAACTTGACACCGAATAATGAATCACCTTCACACCCGAGCTCGACGCGACTCCATCGCCCATTGCAGCTTTGCAAACCTCCAAAATGGCCGGTAAGATAAACAACACAATAGCTCTAGCACCAAAGATTGGAAAAATTGACATCCATATGCGCTGCAAATCTCCTGGTTCCAATGTAGTCCGCTTTTCCGCGATCGTCCATGAAAAGAAAAAATAAACTAATAGGGTTTTTAAAGTAATGAATATTAGTGCAGCTTTTGCTTCACGGACAAGCGTACGCCGTCCTCTTACATCTCTATACACAAAAGACGAAGCAATCATTCAACAAACAACGACTAGCGGTGTTGTTCACATAACCATGAGGCCTTGACATCTACTCCTTCTGTTCTAAATTACTCGTAGTGGTTTTAGTTCAAGTTTTGAACTAAAACCACGACGAGTAATTTGGAACGGAGGGAGTGCGTAGATAAGGTGTGCACTAACAGTGCATTTGCAAATTAACTCACCCTCAAACAGCTGGAAACAACTGTGCAGCTGCTCTTTACTTATCACCGCCAAAAATCCAACCACCCACTGTAGAGCACCAGGGGCCCTAAAAAAATCACATCCATGGTAGGTTAAGTTACTCCATTTTATAGAATTCGGAACCTAGCTCGAGCCTTTGAATATTAAGCATCCTCCCAGAAATGTAAGTTCAACTCACTCTAACTTCATCATCCATCTAACCATAAATATTGATAGAAAGCAAAAGTGGCAATCATCGTTAAGAAATGGTATATTGGTTTTAGCAGAGTCGACACTTAACCTCAGGACATGATTGCTTGCATTTGCCAATTGTACATCCACAGTAGCGATTTTCTCATGAGAGACATCTTCTCATCCTCAATTGTGAAAAAGGCCGCTTCCTTGGTAGTATTTGCTTCATCATCATCAATCAAAGCTTCTTTGAAAGATCGCAATGTTGTGATAAAGGATAGAACAAGGTTTTTCTTTGCGCATGGGACTATCATCTGCAACACAGTTTTTAGTAACCATCCTGTGAAAAAAGAAAGAAAAATACGAGGGTACATTTATGCAAGGCTATAGATTCTAATGATACAAACCGACCTTTTATATTTAACACAAGCAATAAAAGTAAAAATGCTCCACGGTAATCATCTCATGGTAGTTGCCAATTGTAATGTAGTCATTTTAGTGTACAAAATTTCAAAATACAAATATCAGGAGTGCCCTGTGCTTAATCTGCACAAAACCTTGTGGTAAAAAATGAAAATAGAGCAATGGTGATAAAAAATCAGGCATGCCATGTATCTGAAACCAAGTGTTCGATAACAGTTTTAACAAGACTACGGTAATCCAGTGCTCTAAGGTAACATAGCATCATACACTACTAGGGAAAACCCTAGTAGTAGCGCGGGTTTAAAGCCCATTAGTAGCGCGTGCGGCCGCGCTACTAATAAGGTGCTATGGCTATTACTTAGCAGTAGCGCGTGTGACACGCGCTACTGCTAAGACACATAGCGGCAGCGCTTCTTCTCTCCCGTGCTGCTGCTAATCTAGCTAGTTGCAGCGTGTTTACTATCCACCGCTACTAGTATTCTTTTTTTATTTTTTTATTTTTAGTATATTTACGCCGTTATATAAATTTTGGTACAATACCAATTATGAGGTTTATATCATTATGTCCATAACAGTGTGTCAAATGAAGGTGGATTAGGTTCAAGTGGAGGCAATATGTGGTGCATGTCAAAAATATACTACTAATCCAAACTTGATCTAGTTTGGACTAGTAGTACTTTCGATGTGCACGACATGTTGCCTCCACTTAAATCTAATCCGCTAGCACAAGCTATTTAATCATCATCATAGTCATTACCATCAACAATATTTATTTAATCACCATAGTCATAGTGTAGCACATAACCAACACTAGATGCGGTAGCTATCTAATCACCACTAACACTAGCTAATAATAATCATCATAGTCATTACCACCAACACTAGCTATTTAATCATCATAGTCATAGTGTAGCAAATCATCATCTTCAAACTCATTTCTAGCTAGCTAATCACTCCTGCTGCTCTCTCTCAGGTAAAATAACATAAACATGTGTAGCTCTCCTCATTCATCAAGTTGGAGCATGCAGATGAACCTGTCTCCTAATCGTGGGATGCGCTTCGGATTGCTGCCCCCAGTACTTCTCTGCGCTCCTCCATCACAAATTTGGTCCAGTCTTGTACCATTAAGAGTTCGTCACTAATACTGAATGCACTAAAGTGCATTGTAGGATATCTTGGCCGTAAGCTAATAATAATCATGGTACCTTTAGTCTCGATCCCATGAGGCACAACATTCATCGGGAGTCCCTATTAAAGAACATCGTATGGTAACATACTTAGCAATGAAGTTTAGCTTAAAAAATAATGTATGGAAAAGATGCACTGAG